AAATTATCTAATAAAAAACGACCATTAGTACTGGCAAATTTTCATCGATTGACGAATGAATATTCGTTGGCATATCGTAGTGTACACTGGAACCGAATTTGTTGGATAACTTTCCGTGCGTGGATAGTGGCAAGATGACCGAGTGGTAGGTGGCCACCTTTAGTTGTATAATCTGAGCGAAGTTTGCAACATAACCGTTGCACAAGCGCGACGAGTGCGCGCATGAGCTTGCCTGAACCCGGAACGAAGACAAGGCTCCAAACCTTCAAAGTTGGACAGGGGATACATATTTTAATATGTCGGTCACATATAGTTCAGTACTGGCGCACCCGCGATACCACAACTTTCATTCACAAACTTATCCATCGTGCTAGGCGTTCTCAGTGGACATCTAACCTTGAATTATGATACAATCTACCAGATAGTTTATTCACGTAAATGTGCAAGACCCGCAATGATAATTACTTAAAGGTTTGGATTCTGGCGTCACTGATTACAACGACGTGCGCAATGCCACTCACGAATTGCAAGGACCGAGCAAAACCAGCTCATGATTAATAAACAAATCATCAACTCAGTACCCTTAAGATGTCTGATGATTGAATGCAGAGTTTGAAATAAGATCGGTCGTCCGAGCTGACCATCTTGCTCTTTATAAGACAATTTCAAATCTTCAAGTACTCTCTCACTCCAGCTGTCAGATGTGTTTCACACCGAGTCTAGCACGTATAAAGTTGTTTTACCGTGGGCGGCAAGCACTTTGCCCCCGTGATTGTATAGGCAACTCGGCGTAAATCCTACATACATTTGGCGATCGAGCAACTGCTTCGCCACGTTGTATGCGTAGATATTGTCCGTTTTGTCTCCTATACTTAAAAATTCGGTACCTTCTGTGTAGAAAACAGGGGCTGTCAAGCTGCTCGACTTAACTGATGGGTGGTGGTGGCTGTTCAGAGAAAATACAGGTGTCGACATGTTCCGCAGATCGTGGCCCTTGATAGTTTTATCTGCATAGTTTAAACATACATTAAAATTGAACACACAATCTACTAACAATATAAATGAAAATAGTTCACTTGCCAATTGTGTTTGTAATGTCAGCAATTTTAGACAGTTAAAACAGAATCCTCTCCCAGAATCATCGCGCTACGGAATCAAATGGCAATGAACGACAATACCTGAACTTCCAGTTAGAAATAGATTGCCATCGCGGGGATGGAATGTGATGCTGTTTATTCGCTTCTGATGAGGCTCAACGGTAGTTGATATGGCAGAGGCGCGAATGTCGTATAGGTCTGCAGTAATAAAAAAAATACAACAAGCAAATCATTAAACAAAATGTTTTGGAAGTCGCGAGAGTTAAAACAATGTCAATATCATGAACAGGGCTAGATTGGACCCTGGCGGTAGAAGTTACCGAGTTGAATATAGGCGAAATCATACTAAATTTTGGTGTGCATTTGCGATACGAGAACCTACTCAGAAATCTTAAAAATCAATCGAGATATTACGTAATAATTGCGAGTAAATAAATATTCAATTGAATGCAAAACAATTCCATTAGTTTGAAGCCGTCAAAAGAGGTGAAGGTGGAATAAAGCAATTGGCAAATAAGAGCTCTAACGGGCCTAGTGTATGAGACCAAGCACCTTAAGGAATGCGCTACCACTCAAGTTCGAGCCGAACACACTTTGGCGATTCGCTAGCATTGCAGTAAACTTTGGGATACATACACACACACACACTACGGATTCTACGAGCGTATTCAGTCCTTCAAACACAGACACCAATGGAGTATTCTTCCTGCTGAATCTATTTCGCATTTGAAAATAGACGGGTGTTTGAGGATGGACATACTCATCAAACAATCGTCACCGGCAGATATGAAGGCAGTCGGTTCACCAGACCCCGGCACCCACCTGACAGCCTTCACAACTCCTTGATGCAATTCACTATACGTTCTTACAACACTCATCGTGGTATCCGACAGTTTTGTAATACCGACTGTGCTATCCTTCGATGTGGTGGCTATAAGCCCGTTCTGATAATCGAAGCTGTATATACCTATAAAATTATGCAACAATTTGATGCATGACAAAGGTATTTCAAAAAGGTGAGTTATACTCGAAAAATAAAAAACACAACGACATATATCTTATCAAGTCTGTACATAGAGACACCTGTCATATACATAGCAACTTCAATGAAGCCGCAATAAAAAACTGCCGCATGTATCATAGCGCACGGATATCGATGTGTGAATATACACTGCGCTATTGTAAAATTGCCAGGTGATGAACCCACGACTGTATTACTTCGTTACTGATCACTCCTTGTAATCCAAAATTGGATGCCCTTGGCGAAATACAGGTTCATTGATTAAAGAAAAAGAAAAGAAGGCACAAGGATATCTGTACACAAATTCAGTACATGGTTGGGAGCCAAGTTATCAAGGAGGCGGCACAGAACCGAATACTATCGTACCAAACTTCCAAAGAATTGCAGAGCACAACTTTTTCTGCCAAAGAAAATAAATGAAATACCTCGAGCGTGCAGCTCCTTGCCAATCCAAGCCAGGGGCTTACATTGTGGTTCCACGCCGTCGACCACGTCAGCGAACTGGACACCTGCAATACGTGTTTGTTGTTACAGTATTTACTAAACAGATGCATATTTGTATTCGCTTTGTACGTCTTTAACTGTGTGGTAGATAAAAATCAAAATCGCTGGATAAATCCAAAACTGGCGTGTTAACGTGGGCTTCTACCGCCGGTGTAATGGTGGTTCACTTAATCTGTTTCATTTTCCCTGCGCTGTAATATATAGAAACATACTTGAGAGCAACATGCGGCCATCGTCCGCAGTAGTCAGTATAGCGTCTAAATCAGCACGCACATTTACAAATTTTGCCCGGGATATCCACCTGGAGTGGAGTTTGACGGTCCCTATACAAGACTGTACATCGTTAACGTCGTACTCCTTCGCATTTGCATTGAGGTCGAAAAATGAAACCTTGCCTTCACCGCCGCCTATACAAGAGATGGCAGTGAACAACAGAGCAACTTAGCAGATGCTACGTGTTTCCGATTAAAAACTGTCGATAAAATGCACGACTCCTTGAAAGGGATCCTTTGGCAAAAACGTATGCGATAAAAAAAACACTAACCCGCTACCAAGAAGCGTTTCGATGCTGAGCATGACATGGAGTAAATCATATGATTATGACCACCGAATCGCCTATATGCAGTTGCGCATGTAGGTGTACTGCCAGCGACTTTCAAGGGTCCAGTCTTGCAATCCACAATCTGTCCTATTTCAAAAAAATCTCCTGGTTCATCATACGAATATGATATCGGTTCCTTAATGGCCGCTTCTATATATCCCTCGGCAAACTGCTCGGCTGGCTGAAATTGAAGTATCAAATCATGAAATTTCATCTTGATCGTTATGTTAGCTCGGTTCTTAAATCACTATTCGAATTAAAGGGTACATGCTATTCTTTTTCTTCTAAATGCACTAAGCAACCCACGCAGAGTCAGGAATAGGGTAATACAATGCAAAATTGACACAAACAGTCGGTGACAGATGCCCGCGAGTCGTACATACCACCCCCCTTATCCTGGTACTTCGCCTTCGATCTAGTGGCGGAGGAGTTGACTGCTCAGCTTTTGTGCGCTTCTTGAGCGGTTTTTTGGTCTTGGCTGTAGGCTATTTTGGTTTCGAGGGAGTACAGGATGTGAGGAATCGATAGCGTGTGCATAGATTATCCTGTACATTGGAAGAAGTATTAGCATGAATATAATACAATGGATGCCTAAGTCTGAAGCACATAAATGCCTACTGAAGGTGGTTGTTTTGTTGTTGTAGGTAATAGATATCAGGCGGGTGCCTAAGCATATGGAAGCTCCTCTCTTGAGAATCGTGGATACTTGTGAACTTTTCCGCCAAAAGTACATAAAAGTTTCTATAATCCTAAAGAAAATTTCTGAACATTATCACCAGCTTCAAATGATATACACAATTCGATTCTTCGCCATGTACAGGTATCGAACCTGTAGGCCGTAATTGTACACAGTACAGTGCTCGGACGATCTACACCACTAGCAGAGCGACACGCTCGCAAACAGGTATATAAACGGACTCTTACCTTTATGAGACCGGCACTTTTCGTTTTCATTGACCCACCCATCAACCCCAGCTCTGCTAGCATTTTGTTATTCGCTTCAATGTTTCGCTGGCGTTGCATTTCGTAGGTATCCAATTCTTTCCTAGGAGGGCTTGGTCCCCGCGACATCACCTTAGACTTTCTACTCCTACTTTGTGCACCTGGGACCGTCTCGTAGTCAACGTCCGATCCAGCAGTGTCGTCACAGTCACTCGCGGAACTTTCTGACGAAGAATCCCTTGGAGGCTCGATGAAGTTTGGTTGAGAGTCAACCGTTGGCAAGCGCGACTTGCACGCCTCAAAGAACGATGCGCACGGTGCAGTATGTGGAACATCGCACGGCAAATCTTTAGATGATGGTTTTGCATCCAACGGATATGCCTCTACGAGATTAATGGTTGCGTCACTTCGGTCTAGGTTCGATTGGTATGCAGCAGATACGCACGGTGTAGGTTTATCTATACTTCCGCCGAGCATGGCTGGGGTGGTAGCACATGCTTTCTTCGATAGTGTCAAAGAACTATCTACGATTACTGTCTCTGGCGAGTGCTCAGCAGTGAGGCCCTTCGCTTTACATGTCAATTGCACTGCGCATTCTGCGTTAATAAGTACAGGGCTGCCCGAACGAGATTTGTTCTGTCGCGGGCGTGAACTTTTAGCATTTTGTGCTGTGGTGCTGGATTTTTTTGTTGCATCCTTTACGAAATCATCGGCATCATTTACTAGTGGTGGCAAGTCCTTCCCACTTGGTGCACTCGTATTTGTTGAATTAAACTTTGTATTGCTCTGTGACAGCCACTTTGTTAACCCTGTTTGCTTCTGAACAGACATTATGTATATATGAGCCTAACATTTCATTTGATTGTTATACGTGATACCAAGTCAAGTGCATATCAACTTGCAACAGTATGACCTACACTTGCGATATATGGTCAAAAGCAACAACGAATTATATATAAGCATATCAATCACATTGAGTGCTATACGTAATACCAAGTCGAGTGCATATCAACTTGCAAAAGTACGACCTATACTTGCGATGTATGGTTGAAAAAATGACGAATTATGAAATCGGCATCGAGCACAAGTCGAATTGTGGTGCAATACCATCCTTTGGATATCCTACTCGTGCACAAAGTATAGAAAATAAAGCAAACAATCATATATATATATATATATATATATATATATATATATATATATATATATATATATATATATATATATATATATATATACTATATATATATATATATATATATATATATA